AGTTTTCCATAAAATGTTTGGCTTCTAATTGTAGTGTATTGTTTTCAGTAGACTATCATTTTTATGGTATTATACATGGTTAAGGATTCATTTCATTTTTGGAAATTTGAACAAAAACTTCAAATAAATGATCACAGTATGAGATGATTTAGGCACCCTCCCAGACTGTCCACAACTCTGTTACCTCATTTATAACAGAAGGTTGCATTTAATGTTTTTTAAGGAATCTTTCTGATTCTAAAATTTTAATTTCTGTGATCCTAACTGCCAAAAATTATTGACAGTTATGATTATATTAAAAGAAATTATTGTTATTATTTAAACCATAGGGAAAGATTTGCTTCTAGATTCTAGAAGTTAGAATATGCAAGACTATTTGCACTTTTTTGTATTTGAAAGTTAGCTTTAGGCTAGCTTTAGGCTAACAATTTTAAAAATATCTTTTCATTTAGGTCAAGATGGAACTTCAGAATGTTTTAAACTTGAATATCCAAATTGGAATACCTACTGCCATGGTTCCTAATATTGATATAAGAAAGAACACACTGAAGTCATGCTATGATTTAAAGAATTGCTAATTTTGTTGAACTATTATGCTTTTACTGGAGAGCAAGAGCTGTATCCTGAGAGTAACATAGTTAGGTGATGTGTTAAGATAGATCTTTACCTCTTTGGTGAAATATCTGAGGATAGGCTGAACTAATTTATAGGATGAAATTACCTTTACACTAAACAAAAATCTATGAGAACTGTTAAAAGGCCCATTAAGAATCTTTAAACTTTAAATGGCTCTGAATTTCTTCATGTAAATTAATCAGAAATACATAGATTTTATTATTTTTAAGCTGTGCAATTTTTTAAATGAAGAAGAACCATGCCTTCCAGTTTTTTTTAACTCCAATTGAGTCACAATTGTCCATAGTGGTAACTTGCCCATTAATCACATGATATATCCTCTTTCTTTGTTTTTTGGTTTTTTTTTTCTTCTTTTTCTTCTTTAACTTCATGATGTTTAAGAAGCTACAAGCACAGCAGGGAGGTACCCAACTAAACAGAACTCACTCTTTGAAAGATGCTGTCATTGACCGTGGAAGACTGTGGCATTTTATTTTGCAAGCTTCAATCTTCCCCAGAAAATGAAAAACCAACTTTGAAGGTGATGTTTTCCCATAGACTGCAAGTAGAAGATGGATAAGTAAAAATGAACCCAAGCTAGCATTCAATGACCTGAAAAAGAACTCTCTTGCAACTAGGGTCTAAGGAAGCTCACCCTTGGGCCAGTCTGACACCTGCTGAAATGTGCCATGGCCGTGGCACAGACTGTTCTCAGGTGTGCTGCTCTCCAAGGTGGCTTTCTGGATCATAATTATGTCAGGCTGCCACTCCTCTCAGCAAGTACTTATTCATCCTACTTTGTTTCCTCAAATATTCAAAGTTCTTATTCTATATTACAATATCTTTTAGCATGTTGGTATGCCTAGACTTTTTCACATATGAAATGTCCTTAATAGAACCATTTTCTGGATACCTCTGGACACAGGAAATAGATGCCTGGCAAATAGATTCCAAAAACAATACTCAGTGATGAAAAACAATCATTATTCTAATTGATTTCCTTCTTTTTGTTTCACAGCATCATGAGGCTCCCAATGCCAGTGTCATCCTCACTGTTTAGGATACACTGAAACATTTCAAAGAAGAAGTGAAGAAACAAATTTGTACACTTTAGCTCTCATAAATCCTAGATTAAATGACAAATTTTTTTTATACAGAATAATTTCGAATTACACATTCCTATCTCGGACTATTTCCGGGAAGTTACTCACCATTATCCTGCTAATTTAAGCTTCGCAGGCCCTGTGACATTCTGAATTTTGCTATCATGTGATTTCAGAGTTACACTTAATTTACTTTACCCCCAAGTGTTTAAATATCTGGACGTACTCACAAATAGGCTGGATAATTATAACAGGTTGGACTTACTGAGCACTTGTTATTTGTAGATACTGCTAAATGCTTTCCACATGTTATCTTACCTAATCCCCTCAATTACCCTATCAGGGAGGTCTTTATTAATCAATCATGGTTTACAAATATGAAGACTCAGAAATGGATTAAGTATCAGGCCCAAGGCTGCATAGCTAGTCCCTTGTAGAACTGGAACTCAAGCTTCTCAATTCCTCCTGAACAAATAATTTCAAAGAATATACTTGAAAAATATTAATAAACTAGAAATAAATTACCAGCTGTCATTATCCTCTTGTAGCTCACAGATTGCACCCTTTTACCATATAAATACATATCAACAACAAACATTTGGATATGCTCCAGTGTCAATTAAAAGCAAATACAGAATAGAGAACCCAACACGAGCATCTCAAATTTGAATTCATATTCCACTCTTGTCCTCACGAATGCCTTTTCTTCCTTCAAACTGGTGTCGACTAGAACTTACTTGTTTGTTCTTTTTTGTTTTTTACTATGTTGCAGGTCATGTTTGTCAAACATTTTTGTTTGTCTCTGTGTGACTGAAATGATCAAATGAATCAGTTGCCCTCCGCTGGTGTGCTGGGGCATATGGGGATGTACCACAAATGTTTCCCGGGTGTGCTGCCAAATTTTGAGCAATGTGCAAAATGTATTTTGGTTACAACTAAGAATACATATGGTCATTGCAATGTCTGTCAGATGGAATATGGAGCAAAAAGGGTCCTGTGGCGTGCTCTGGAGCAGATGAGGATTTGCTGGGGAGAAGGAGTGAAAGCAGGTGGGTATGTTTTCAGAGTGACATGGACGGTTACTTAGCAAATCCAGATCTTTGCCACTTGAGTCTTTAAGAAAGTCTTTCTCTGCAATAATCAGTTATTCTCAAAGCCACAACACTACAGAGCAACTGCATGAATCCCGTGGTGACTATGGAAGCTTCTACGGGTTTCAGAAATACTGTCATAGTGTGACTATGACCATGTGGTAATCATCGTTAAGTGGTGACAAAAATCCAAAAAGTTCAAGGACCACTGAAATAGACCAAACTACTTTTAAATTTTGTATGTAGGGTCGAATTTAGAAAAAAAATTATCATCTTGCCCTTTTCTTCCAGGGACTTTTTGAGACAGAGTCTCACTTTGTTGCCTAGGCTAGAGTGAGTGCCATGGCGTCAGCCTAGCTCACAGCAACCTCAAACTCCTGGCTCAAGCAATCCTTCTGCCTCAGCCTCCCGAGTAGCTGGGACTACAGGCATGCGCCACCATGCCCGGCTAATTTTTTCTATATATATTAGTTGGCCAATTAATGTCTTTCTATTTATAGTAGAGACGGGGTCTCGCTCTTGTTCAGGCTGGTTTTGAACTCCTGACCTCGAGCAATCCTCCCGCCTCGGCCTCCCAGAGAGCTAGGATTACAGGCGTGAGCCACCGCGCCCGGCCAAGGGACTTTCTTATATTTTGGAAAACCAGTGCTCTCCTGTTACTCTCCTCATTTCCCACGTCCCTCTATTTTCCCACACTTGAGTCTGACCTCTTGAATAATAATCTGTCATGCTAGTTTCTGGTTATCTCACCCAATTTAACTACTTGGAATAACTGACTACTTGATAGTCTTTTAGGATTAGTAACCTAAATATCTGAGCTCTATGGGTTTTATAATCAATTTTAATTTGTCACTTAGACAAAACAGTCAAACTGATTTTGCATGAATTGATTGAAAAAGCCAAGCATCCAAGCTAAAAACAAAAAAAAGAGATCAAGCCATAAAAACTATAAATATATATACATATGTATACACATACACACACATATATATATTCAACTATCCACTCTTCTAGGGAAAAAAGACAAACTTTAAAGCCTGTTTCTTACTTATATTATTAAAATATTGAATGATTGAATTATATTTTTCAAATATTGTAAGAGAACATGAACACCATTGAAAACATCAAAAAATCATAAAGCATATATACTTATCTTTTTTTAAAAACAATCACATTTTGAGGCCTCCCTTTCACCTATCTTCATAGAAGCTTTCAACTTTCATTTGTTTTATCAAATGCAGAAACTGCTCTACAAACGTGAGCCTATATTTGCCTATAAATGTAATGTTATTCTTAGCCAAAAGCACAAAATTATATTTGTATGGCTCATCTCCAAATTCTGCTGATGGCCCTCAGTGAATGTGCTAATTGCATTTTTTAGCTATCCATTTTCTTATCTTAGCCTTTGTGGTTTTATGCACATTTTACTAGATGTTACACTTTCTTGTGTTTAGGTTTTATTTGCATGACACCAAAGTGTGAGTCAGTTGGCTCATTGCATTTTGCATACATTGTGCATAATGAATACTAAAGCGAAGATTATCTTTTCATGGAGCAAAACTGAAAACATGTGTTTCTCTGCCAGATCTGCTTTGACGAAAAACAGAAACCTAAAATGTTGGGCAGTATATGGTAAAGTAATCTTTCTACAATCCAATCTTAGCAACGAGGGACTTTGTTCCTTGACTTTTTTGTTGTTGTTGCCATACAAACCTCATTATTCTTTAATTTCGACAAGTGAGATAAAAGAAAACTCTACTTAAATTCTTCAATTTAACAGAAGTGTGAGGTGTAATGCTCCTATATGTGCTTGTGTATATTATGGTTACCATACAACTTTGAACTTTGATAGAATATGCTTTATGTATTATAATAATTCACATTTATTCTTAAAATTATATAAAAAATCATAAAGGAAGAAAATAAAAACAATCTAAAATTTTAATAGCATTGATAATTTTTTTTAAACACCATTTTTCTTAAGCTGAATTTTTTACTGCAATAATGCCTTTTGTCTGTTACTGACTCAGTGCCTTGTTTTCACTCTTCTAAGTTTACAATGTGGTTTAATTCCTAATGTAGCAAATACCTTACCCCTGCCCCCATGGATTTGAATTGCATTGCATTGCATCTCTGGAATAATTTCAGAGTCAACTTTGTACCACCATCCAATACAGGAAAAAAATCTTACCTGGGAGTTTTCTGCTGCTTCAACATCCCACATCAGAAAGAAACCTAGCCTGCACAGGCTTTTTTCTTGGAGAAGCACCTGTCGCTGTGTGTTTTATCTGCTTACTGACTTGCTTACTGTGGTTCCTCCATGTTGCTCAATGACTCTTGTTTATCTCACCAAATTATGGGCTGTTCGGGTTTCCTCACTTTACATCCCAGGCACCCTGCACTTTTGACAAAAGGAGAACATAAGCTTCCATAATCTAGAAAGAGAGAATGAGAAGGAAAGGAGCAAGAATGGGAGAAAAGAAGGAAGGAAGAAGAGAGGGAAGAAAAGAAGGAAGGAATGGAGGAAGGAAGGAAGGTAGGAAGAAGGGAAGGGAGGAGAAAGAAATGGAGATTCTTTTTTATCATGGCCACAGTTCAGTTTTAGGTTTTACACCCTACCCTACCCCACTCCCAGGAAATAGAACTTTACCAAAGAATCTTTTCAGTTTTTGGAGTCTTAGTCTAACAGATGGCAGCAGATTGGTCTCTACAATGGTAGTTGTATCACTGACAGAAAACTGGAAGGATTGAGCTCTACGTTGTCTGTATACAGACCTGACTGCTAGTTTGATCAACACTTACAATTGAAATGACTCTTGGTTCTTTCTGTTAACTTATTGAAATATACAAAGTTGTCTCCCCTAAGATGATCAGCATTGGTAAAACTTGGCTCATAAATTATAAATTAAGCACATATGGTGGTATATTCACACCTAATATGCACTGTCTGGGGAATGCACACGCTTGAAGCTCTGACTCAGCCGGGGTAAAGGCAATATATGCAACCTAAACATTTGTACCCCAGTAATATTCTGAAATATATATATATATAATATAAATTATCTATTTCCCAAGGGCTTCTGAAGAAATAAACTATAAACTTTTTTATTATAATAAAAAGTTCTGATGTTTAAAAAGAATAGGATTAAGGCCGGGCGCGGTGGCTCACGCCTGTAATCCTAGCTCTCTGGGAGGCCGAGGCGGGAGGATTGCTCGAGGTCAGGAGTTCAAAACCAGCCTGAGCAAGAGCGAGACCCCGTCTCTACTATAAATAGAAAGAAACTAATTGGCCAACTAATATATATAGAAAAAATTAGCCGGGCATGGTGGCGCATGCCTGTAGTCCCAGCTACTTGGGAGGCTGAGGCAGAAGGATCGCTTGAGCCCAGGAGTCTGAGGTTGCTGTGAGCTAGGCTGACGCCACGGCACTCACTCTAGCCTAGGCAACAAAGTGAGACTCTGTCTCAAAAAAAAAAAAAAAAAAAAATAGGATTATATAATACTTCCTTTCTGTTAAAAAAAATCCAAAACTTGAAAATAAAAAAATAAAATAAATTAAATTAAATTAAAAATAAAATTTAAAAAATAGCTGCATGTCCTTTCCAAGGTAATGCTTTGGAGCATTATCTGACAGGAACATGCAAGGAGTACTTAACCCTATAGAGGATATACTTTTTTTGTTGCACTTACTAATTACTATTGCTTAGGGCCTAACTCCAAAAATTGCATTCTAAATTGTATACCTTGTCCACCGTGGATGCAAATTATTTCTTTGCAGAAGCAAAGATAATTTCAAAGATTATGTTTTACTGCCCTAGAGGACATAGATCGATTTTGTCACTAACTTAGCCAACTTATTTCAGCATTCTTTCCAGACTGATAATATAAATTGCTGTTCATAAAGTTCTCTTAATCAGCTTTACCATTCTGCTGGTTTACTGTTTAATGAGTTTAAAAATCTTTAACATGTTTTATTTATATGAGAGTTGTATTTTTAAATTTTGAAAATTATATTTTGGCATTCCAAATTATTTTAGCCTTTATATGTCTGTGTCTGCACATTCATGAAATGATTAATGATGATACTCAAGCAGTATTAATAAAGGGATTCTATTTTGGTTTTAATTAAATATGTATATGTAATTATGTACACATACATGTGAATATTCATATATATGTTAAAAATATCAAAATGTATTAGAGAAAATCTACACAATACTTAATGTCTGCCCACTTCAGTTACCAAAAAACTATTAAACATAGTAAATTGTGTAGTTATATATTATTTTGGAATAAAACGATTCAGAGAAATATTTTTGAAAAATCAAAATGTAGAATCTAGCTTTTGAGTTTAAGATCTGGGAAAATTATTTTTGTTCTTTTTAACTCCCCAGAGTATATGTTATAATTTTCATCAATTATTAATTTATAATTTAAATACTAAGCAATAAAGAGATTTACATAAAAGATTTTATAATGGTAGTCATTTGCAGTATAAAAATGTGGTTTCTTATTATTTCTAGCTCTTATAGCGTAACGATAATACATAGCTATGTAATTTTACAGGACAGTTTAATTTCCCTTGAAAATATGGACCTCAGTGAAGGGTCCAAATTAAAAAGAAATTAATATGTTTCACATATTAAGTTATTTTTCTGGTCTTTTGAGTTTTATAATATCTAGACCTTGTAATAAATTCTACTTAAAGAAAGTTACTAAAAGCGATCCTAGATTTCTCACATTACCAGAAAATAAAAATGCTTTTAGAATGGGTATTCTACATTCATTTCTTTATATTAATTACTATCAAATATCACAATGATCAAAATTCCATTGGCTTGAAAAAACTGGTAGAAATACATTGATCAAACACATTAGCTCTTTATCAGCTCTGCCTACATAGAATATTATCATTTACTCTTCCAAAAATCTTTGTAGTTTGGGCCAATATGCTATTTAGAAGGTTAAGTTTATCTATATATGTTAAATATTAATCAGGTAGGTTTTAATAATTTATATTTGAACTTCAAGTTTGGTATACCCGTTTTATAGAAACAAGAGTTATGTTGAAATTATAACAGACTTAGGATTTAATGATAAGTTTGGAAAACCTAAGACTCTAGCCATGCACTGTTCAATATGGTAGCCACTAGCCATATGTAGATATTTATACTTAAAAGTCAATTTATTAAAATTAAATAGAATTTAAAATTCAGTCCTCTATTATGCTAGTCACATTTCTAGTGTTCAATATCCTCATGTTGTTCCTGGCTATTGTTTTGTACAATGCAAGTATAGAATACACCTGTCATTACAGAAAATTCTATTGGACAGCCCTGTTTAGACTTCTGAAGTGTAAATCATGCTTCCTTCTGTTTTTAAATGTTAAAGATAAATTTGACCTTATCTAAAACATCAGCAGTATAAAATTGGACAGATATTATATAATACATCAACCCAGACATTCTCAATTTACTGAGTAGGGAATTTCAGTCTGCTACATTTACCTATAAGTACCTATTCTCTACTTATTCTTTAGATTAACATGCATGGAATGTGCTTCATTCATTCTTAAGATTTCTTAAAATTGTTTTGATTTTGAGTGAGAATCATTTCTAATATTAATAAGCATTAATAATATGTAATAAAAATCAAAGAAAGAGACATCCACAGAAAATAAATGTTAGATTGTCAATTCAAAATTCTCACTTGTCACAAAAGCCCAGTAAAAATCAGAATATGGGTAACTATCTCATGCATTTTTTTCAGGCTGCAAAAATATTTACTAATTTCCTTTAATACACCTATGATTTTTATTTCTAGAACCAACTTCAGTAGTTCTTACTCATATAATGATTAAACATACCATCACTGGGAATCTAACTCAGCAAGAATGAAAGTTTAAATCAGCAATTGTTCCAGTCATTTTTATTCTATCCATTCTAATCATAAATGGGTGAGTCATACTGATGGTGAAAAAGATTGCTTTAAAATAATTTAAATAATTCCTGATTTAAAGTAAAAGTAAAATAGAACACACATTATTCTCCACCTAGAGATTTTATGTGACATTTATCACTCTTAATATTAATCCTGTGTTTTAGTCCTTTGTAATTCAAGTAATGCTTTTATTCAACTTAATGGAAAGAATGTGGAAACCCTACAGAATTCCTGAAGAAAACCTCCTATGGTGCAAATTTGTACACTTATTATTTAGAGTTTTAATAATAGGGATTTGTATAAAATTAATGTAATTTGATAAACTCTGGAAAATTGTTTGTTTTTAATTTTCAAGTAGTCAAGGAAAATCTCTCTGCCATTTGAGAAAAACATGGGAAGAAAGGAATGTTACTGATATTCTACCTTTCCTAGGAAAGAGGTGATTTGACATTATATGGGAAGAAGTTAATTTGAATATTGAGCTAGAGATTCTGATTATTTAAATGGTATTTTAGGAGACAATATACATGGTAAAATGACAATAAATTACATTTATATTTTTCATAAATATCTTACATGTGTGTTTAATATAATCTCCTAGATAAAGAGATCCTAAATGAACAATTTTAAAACCAAGTATTAGCAATAGGGAAAAAATTTAATCTAAACCAAAATTAATACATATGTTTTTATTAAATTATATTGACATTTTTAAAAGCTGATTTACATTCAAATTACAAATGTAAGAGAGAAAGTTTTATAATCCTATTCAATTACAGCAATCAAAACTTGAAGTTCTAAGTCTGAGAAAATGATTGTATCTCTTATAGAATACATCAAAAGTACATACTCTTGAGTTAAAAGCACTCTCATTTTTCACTGTGTATTTAAAATGAAATAAAACAAAATATATGACCTGAAAAGGTTTGATGCTGGCATGAAAGAATGGTTAAATATCAGAAGATTTATCAATGTAATTGCCTACAGTAACAAACTGAGAGAGAAAAATCATATTATCATTTCTTACGTATAGAAAAAAAGTGTTTGATAGACTCTCAACTATGATTTTTAAAATAAACTCTTAATAAACAAGGAATAGAAAGATATTGCCATAAACTTATAAAGCATATTTAGCAAAAACCAGTGGTAAATCATAGTAAATGGTGAAATTTTAAAGCAGTATTGTCAATCAAAAGAAAGATAATTATGACTGTTGGGTTCCAATACAATTGAACATTGTATTAGAATCCTTGCAATAAAAAAACAGGGAAAGCGTATAAGATCAGAATAAAACAGGCAAAATTTTCATTTTCAGGCAATATGATTAGATGTAGAGAAAAATAAAAACGAATTAATAAATAAGCTTTAATTAATAAAAGAGGACAGCAAGTTTCTTCTTGGCTGCAAGACCAACATTCAAAAATTAACAGCTTTCCAGTACACAAATGGAAACTAATTAGA